TTGATATGAGTAAGCAACATCAAACTGTTGTTTGTGATACTGCATCTGTCTCTAGTAATAGTGAAATTTTGTTATAGCATTTTAGAATGGGACATCCTAATTTTCAATATTTGAAAAACGTATTTCCTTCTATTTCCTGGAATAAAAGGCTAGTCAACTTTCAGTGTGAATTCTGTAAACTTGCTAAAACACCAAAGAACATCGTTCCCCAAATCCACATACAAACCATCGAAACCATTTACAATGATTTATAGTGATGTATGGAGTCTCACAAATATTTAATCGAACTCATACAAAATAATTTGTCACATTTATTGACAACCACACTCGAATTTGTTGAGTCTCTTAAAAGAAAATTTTGACGTTCGATCTGCGTTTATCAATTTTCACTCTATGGTACCAACCCAATTTGAAACATATTTAAATTTTGCGCACAGACAATGGCACATAATACTTCAACAAAAATTTGGGAGATTTCCTTCACACATGGGATAATTCATCAAAACTCATGCGTTGAAACTCTCTACAAAACGGGATTGCTGCAAGAAAAAATAGACACCTTCTAAAGGTTGTTCGAGCCTCAATGTTCATTACAAATATGCCATTTTGGGGAGTGGCCATCTTAACAGCCACTTACCTAATCAATTGAATGCCTAGTCATACCTTAAACATTGACTCGCCTCTTAAAAGGTTCCAAAACTCCATTCCAAACTCTCGACTCGCCTCTTAAAAGGTTTCCAAACTCCTTCCATGATGAAAGTCATTGTGAGTCTCAATATCACGTTTTTTAAAACATTCCACATTTCCACAAAACCTCTCTTCAGGGAGGAGAATCAAAGTGAAGACCACTACCTAAACCTAGATCTTTCCCTGTAACCTGTCTCAATCATACCTCCTAGTTCTTCTATGCCATTGAAAGGAGAAAACTTAAACTCAGGAAGAGATATAGAAAAGCAAAGTAACAATGAAATGCTTGTCTACTCAAAGAGACCAAAAGCGAGGCAGAAGGAGAACTTCCCACCTGAAGCACCGAGAGATTCGGAACCAATGGTAGCTCCAGAACCTGATAACACCATAAAGGTATCAGAATCATCAGACATTAACCTTTCCATTGCACTCAAAAACAAACTCGATCATGTCCTCTTCATTCTATTTCAAAGTTCATGTCCAATAATGCTCTATCAACAGAATTCTGCAACTTTACCTTTCATCTTGACAAACACCAAAATTTCAAAGAATATTCAGGAAGCCTTGGAAATTACGAAAGTGGAAAGAGGCAATGATGGAGGAAATGCCAGCATTGGAAAAGAATAAAACTTGGGAGGTAGTGGGGTTGCCTAAGGAAAAAACCAGATGGATGCAAATGGATCTTCAACTTAAAATATAAAGCTGATGGGACAATAGAAAGGTATGGGGGTCGATTGGTTGTGAAGGGATACACAACAACGTATGGTATTGATTACACAGGGACATTTGCACCCATAGCAAAATTGAATACTATCCGAGTACTTTTGTCATTAGCAACAAACTTAGATTAGCCTCTTCAGCAATTGGATATTAAGAATGCATTTCTCAATGGATAATTGGAAGAAGAGGTTTACATGACACTACCTCCAAATTTTTGCAATGTAGGCGAGAAGAATCAAACATGTAAACTCAAGAAGTCATTATATGACCCCAAATAGTCAACTAGGAAATGGTTTGACAGATTTACAAAGGTACGAAAGAGGCAATGATATCAACAAGGATAGCCAGATCACACTATGTTTCTCAAAAGTTTGATGACAGGACAAACAATCTTAATTGTTTATGTTGATGACATAATCTTGACAGGTGACAACAACATAATAGAAATGGAGAGACTAAAGAAGAGTTTGGCAGCAGAATTCGAAGTAAAAAATCTAGGACAAATGAGATACTTCTTAGAAATGGAAGTAGCAAGATCACATAGAGGTATCAGTATCACAAAGGAAATATATACTTGACCTCCTTACAGAGATTGGAATGCTTGGATGTAAGCCAAGTGACATACATATCGATGTAGAAAAATGTCAACAATGCTAGCAACCCTATAGATACAACAAATATCAAAGACTGGTAGGTAAACTAATCTACTTGTCACACACTAGACCCGATATTCCATTTGCAATTAGTGTGGTAAGCCAAGATATGCATTCTCCGAAGGAAGTTCATCTAGAAGCAGTCTATAAGATAATCAAATATCTTAAGGGATCCTCCGGGAAAGGACTATTTTTCAAGAAAAATGATAGAAAAGATATAGAAATCGTAACAAATGTAGATTGGGCAGGTTCAACAGAGAATAGAAGGCCGACTACTGGATATTGCACCTTTGAATGGGAAAATCTAGTAACATGGAGAAGCAATAAGCAAAATGTAGTAGCTAGACGTAGTACTGAAACCGAGTTTAGAACAGTAGCACAAGAAATATGTGAAGGACTGTGGTTAAAAAGAAAACTTTATTGTTGTAACAAAGCTGCTATCAACATTTCTCTCAACACAGTTCAACATGATTGAACTAAACATGCAGAGGTAGACGGACATTTTATCAAAAAAAGGTAGAAGAATGAATTATTCGTATGATATATGTTCCCACACAGGAAAAAACTGCAGACATCTTTACCAAATGACTTATCTCAACAAAAATTTGATGATTTCATTCACAAGTTGGATATGATTAACATTTACAATCCAACTTAAGGGGAAGTGTTGAAATCCCGGAGATGTGACAATATCTTAATTACCATAATTAGCAGTTGTATTTAAGGAAATTGTAATTATTGTAATTAGGTATGATTCTTAAAGATTATGTATGATTTGAGAATATTTTTATTTCCTTATTTTACCCTTATTGAGTACTATTAAAGATAGCACTCGGTTGTATTATTGTTTAAGAGAAAATAGAAGATATCCTCTCTCCTCAAGTCTCTCAACTTACAGTTGTCAATAAGAACAGAAAATAGCAGTCTATACTTGGGGATGGCAAAAAAATCTGTCAAACCTGAAACCTATGGCCCAGGCCCGAATAGAGTAGAGATTACCAATTTAATCGGGTATTCAGGTCAAGGACAAGGCGAATACGGGTAAGAAGAGCCCCACCTCGCCTCGTTTGTTATTTTTTTGAAGAATTCAATACTTTAAATGAAAAACTCCATGAAACTTCATTAGTTCTAATAAAATATGGCAACTAATATTATCTAAGAAATATGACAAACAATAAAAGATTTAGTTTACCTAATATTTTTGAATAATTTAACTTAAGATTTAGTTTACCTAATATTTTTGAATAATTTAACTTTTTAAAAATAAATTAATTAAAAAATAATAAATATATTATTGTCTCACTTTAAACAATGGAAGTAATAAAATGAATTATCAAAAACTAAAAAAAAAATTAAATGGGCAATAAACAAGGCAAAGGCACTGCCCGCCCTACCTTAAATAGGTAACGGGTGAGGAGCGGGGGAGGTTGCCCCAACCCCAACCTGCCCCATTTCCATCCCTATCTATAATTACAGCATATAATCTCCAAAATCTCAAAGTTCCAATTAGTTGAATGTTTTATACCCCTCCCCTTAAACACATTGGATTATTGTTCATTTTAATTTTTAACTAATGATATCACAAAATTAAACAAGGGAGCAAAACATTTAAACTAGAGTGCAATTGTCGAGTAGCGGTTGTCAAACCTTTAAGTAGTTCTATTGGGAACCTGTGATGCTCAAACTCTCCAAAACAAAGGCAGTGCCCCGAAGGAAAATGGTATAGGTATGAGTACGGGATCTGGCTTGGATCCTTCAAACTTAAAAGGAATGTAGCAGAGGATGTCATCATTGGTGCTAGCTGAAGTTGCAAAAAGAGGAAGAGGGAAGAGTAAGGCAGAGAAAGGTCGAGAAAGGAAACCCTAAACGTAAAAAGGGAATATCTCCATCCACGTTATGGATCCCTTTTTGTCCATCCTAGAATATAGGAAGCAAAAAGAAATAGGATAATGAATCCTAAACATGTACCCATACTCATACCCAAGTCCAAGCAACATAGTTGGGAACTAGTTTAATTTTAAATTTCTTTATCATACTTGGGTAACTACAATACTGACAATTGTTCATCCTTTAACTGTCCAAATTTCTCCAAAATGCGAATCAAACGTAAAGTGGGAATAAGGTGATTTCAGCAAAATCCTGTTTCCCATTTATGCATAACAACAATAAAGCATCAATTTCTTGTCAGATTTAGTTGCACTAAATTTTTTATTTGTCCTCGCAAACAACTAATATATATCTCGAAACTTTATCCAAACTTAAAAATGGATAGTGTTTCAAGTGAGCTAAACTGTTATTAAGCAAAAGCAATTTAAAGACCTATTGATTTAACAACTTATTGCAGAGTTGATCATTCGGACCTTTCAATTCATAGATGTAGATCTCGAACCTATGAATGGGAGTATTTCCGAAACTCACAGAAAAAAGGAAGTGAATTAGATAAAATGAAGAGCAACTCAAATTGAAACAAGTAACTAATCCTAACATGGAAATACTGGAAAAAAATAAAAAAAACTCATAAACAATTTTATACTCTTTCATAGACGAATTCTACATATTTTCCAATTATTGTCGATAAACATCTGCATTAATTAGTCTTGGATTGTTTCTTTGTGAAAATGTATGCATTTTTTTATTGTATGATGGAGCCATGAAAAACATTGGTGCCTGTGTTCTGTCAAATCTTGTAATCTCTACGAAAATAGGCAAAGGTGGTTTAGACAAATCTTACATCATTTCTAAAGCACCAAAACATCATATCCAGGTAGTCCAATATTATTCCTGAGGTCATCTCTATAATTGAATTACAACTTTTCAAGGAATCACTATGGAAATCCATTACCAGGCAAACTCATCAGGTTATATATAAGCCAACAACCAACAAAGGAATGCAAAGATATTTAAAAAGATAACATATAATCATGGCCATCTGACTGGTACCTGAATTACCAGTGCTGTCAGAGGCAATGGAGGAGATTCCCCAGCAGCTCCCATAGTAAATGCTTGAGCCATCCGTTCATATTCACCTTTTATTACTCCATCATCAAATCCCTTTGTGCAAACCTTTGTCATAAAAATAGCCATAAATGTATGATCAATTAGACGACCACCCATTCAAGTTCCCACAAAGGCTGAGGGTCCATTATTATGAACTGAAATTGTTGATATTATCATATCAATATTGCTAGCATGGAATTCAATCTAGAAGGAATAGAACATGAACCTGAACCATGAGCATGAATTCTGAAATGCTAGCCTCGGGATTGTCAACATCAGCAACTTTGTTTGGTATTCTGCCTTCACGAACCTAATAAAAAACAGCAACAGTGAATCGTCGTCATAAGAAGCAAAGCTTCCTTCTCTTTTCTCATTGTGCAAAAGCATGGTCTCCATTCTTAGTTTCATCATCAAAACAATTTTCACAGATTATTTATGCCAATTTACAAACTTCATGTAGTTCATTTAAAATTTACAATATTTATAAAAGTATACCGTAAGTTGACGCCAGAATCCAGTATTATTCAATCTGTTCCATATAGGCATCCCTGACTGCTGTAAAAATTCTTGAAAGATAGCAGCATATTTGCAAGCAATTCTAGAAACATTTGGGCAGTCTACAGGCTCCTCGATAGCAGTCACACCTTCCCTATATTAATTGATCAAATCCTATAACCTGTTAAGTGAAAAGAAATAGAGAGAACTATTTTATGGTGGCTGGTTTTATTGCAGACTACCTGAAATTCCCAAGTAAAAATCCCACAGTAGGTCTGCCTTGCAAAGAATATCCAACAGAGAACTCGCACTTGTTTCGGTATCCATCAACAAGTGGTGATTCAAGTATACCTTCTAACTTGCATGGAAGACCACCTGAATGTAAGTATGAAAATAGGTCAAGGAGCTACTTTAGTATCCTAGGCTCTTCATTCTGCTCAAATTTCTGTGAAAGTGCTTGGAGATAAAAGTTTCTATATAAATAAAAAGATAATTCAGAAAATCATAGAGAAAACAAAAGAATCATTTACAATTAGCTTTTGTAAGAAAATCCAGCAAGTGTTCGATGTATTTAGATATCATAGGAACAAATAAGAACTTTTGGAGTAATTATTTTATTCAACTTCTATACATGGTTGAAACAGCACCTATTTCTCTAGATTTGAGAATCCATTCTGGAAGTGAGACGCCATTAGGACAAGCTTTACGCGCATTTCGAGTCTACAAGCGACAAATCCAATATCAAAATTTGTATCGGCTGATAGTTCATAATGTAGTTTACAAAAGCAAGGACGTATTCTTGTCACTAACTAATCTTTTGAGAGTTTGCATTAGAGAATTCTTCTTGTGCTCTAGCTGATCAGCATAGGCCATGTGAGCAAGAGGAGTGACCACATCACGGACACTTCTACCTTTTGAGGCTGAACCATCAGCAGCTAAACTGACACCATTTGAATCGTCAGCCTGATCATTGTTCAACTCGGCCTCTTCATTTTTCTTACCAAATGAACGTGAAATGACTTCAGTAACCTTTATAGTCCTATTATTTCCAACAGACTTCCCGTCCAACTCCTGTGACATTCAAATATGAGAAAACAATTTTTTGAAGTTATTATAACATTCAAAATGAATGTTCCATGCCCATTGAAAACTAGGTAATACCTCTACAGCAGTTTTAACTTGTTCTGCACTTTTAAATGTAACAAATCCAACAACCATCCCTTGTTTTTTCTTGGCTGATTCAAACAGAATTCCCTGTAGAAATTATTTCATCAAATAATTAAACATACATCACAGCCCTATAAATCAACCATAATACAAAAAACCAGAAATAAGTAAGAACTATAAACATTTATTGGAGTAACAGCATTCCTAATTCAACAAATATGCAAGTGATGAATACTTTACTTGGCCACAAAAGAATATTTTACAAAGCTCTCTTAGTATTGCAAGACGTTAGGATCAATCTCTGCTCCATCAATAAGACAATAACTAATTCACAAGTTGGATATGCTTTTGAAGCACTTTATCAGAACATCAAGTGCACTAAGCAGGGTAAAAACAGCCCTTGGCTCTGCATTTCCCTTGTCTTATGTTCGGCCATGTTCAAGATGTTTGGATAACTTACTATTTTGCTATTTAAAGGTTATTAAATTTAAAAAAAAAAAAAAGGTTACTTATTTTGTAAGAAATTATGTTCTCACTGTTAAAATAAGTAGTTTGGCCATCTTCAACTTTGATAGATTAAAAACATCTATCAAAACTTAATTATTTACTTAAATAAGTAAAAAAAAAAATTAAGCTTAGCCAAACATCCTTTAACTCCTAGCTAGATTCTAGATTAGCAATTACTTCTTGTGATTGCCACCGAAGCAAACTAATTAAACTGAAACCAAAATGCACCTGCTCATTAAGAAAATTCCTCAACTTGTCCGCACCCCACTTCATGGGTAAATTCACCAAGCACTTAGACAGCCCAGAGGAACAAGCCTCCTCCCCTTCCGGCACCGTCGCAACTGCATCCGTCATCATAACGCCACCCTCCGCCTCCATTAAATTTGCATTGTCTGGCTCTTTCTTCGCCATCTTCTTTGCCCGTTCGGATGTCGGGTCCCAGGTGTTGTCGGGTCTGGACCTGAGCTCCACCTCTCCATGGGCGTAGCGGCACGTATCCCCGTGGTTGCACGACCCGTTAGAACTCCGAAAGTATGAGCAGAGACTCGTTTTCCACAGCGGGTGCTGCTGCTGAGGTGCTGTTTGCTCCGGCTCTAAGTCCGAATCCTCTCGCTTTCGCTTCTCAGATTTATTAGTATCGACTGCACCAGATTGAGAAGCACTTTCGGGCGGATTTGGTAGGTCCAATGACTCGAGAGCGTCCATTGGAGTTTAGGGTTTCAGTTCGTTAGGCTTCGCACGGTGAAGTTTCAGAATTCAGGTTTCGCGCTTGCGGCGGGACAAATTCCTAAAATCTAGTTTTGTTTAGGATTAATAGCAGGAAGCGAGTTGCTACGTGTACACAAAGCCTTTGTTTGAGCCACATTAATTTGATTAGAATAATTTTTGAATAACGTATTAACGAAAAATGTATGATTAAAAAATAAAGAAAATCTTTAAATTTAAGTATAATATTATTTTATTAAAAAATATATTGTTAAAATGATATCAAATTACTATTTAATAATGTATTTTTTTTTGTTTTAAATGGAGCTCAAACATGTCCCAAATATGCTGCAACAATTGCTGCGGATGAAACTTAACGATTTTTTATTGGAAAACGAAAAAATAAAAATAGACTGTAGGGGAAAATACCAAATATTTTTATTTACATATATCCCTTTGCTAATTGAAAATCACAGAAAATTCTCCTATTTGAAATCTTTTGTGTGAAAAACTTCCTACCATCCAATTCATTTAGTTTAACCGATAAAAAAAAAAAGTAAAAATTGTCAAAATTAAATGGAAATAATCACAATTATAGTCTCTTGACTCTTTATTTTTTTGCAAATTATACCAAAATCTTTCATTTGTACAATCCTCAATCCCAAACTTTTAAAACTTTATTTTCTTACCGACCCCCGCCCCATATCTATAAACATTTAGCTTTCAACGCGATAGGTAGGTATGTTAACAAGTTGAGCCGAGCCTTCTTGCGAGCCAAAACTCGAGACCGGTGCAAGCTTTTTTGCGGGCTCGAGCTAAGTTGAACTTTTGTTTGACCAGAAAATTTAGGCTCGATCCGACCTTTTGACTCAAGCCTTACTGAGCCAAGTCGAGCCGAGGAGGGTTTTTTTATTTCATGACAATCCTAACATTTTAAATTTGTGTAATTTTTATGAATTATAAATTAAATAAAAGTTATAATTCTCCTCCCATTTCGGGCTTAGGATCGATTACAATCAATGTAGACGGAGTTAAAATTGTACACAAATAAAATATTTTGTGTAAAATTTTTCTTGAGACAAATAAATTTAAAAATTATGTATTTTGTATTTTTTTAAAATTAATCAATTTAAAAATGTACAATATATTTATGATCGGATCTGTTGCAACTCTTCGACTATTATACTGTCAACTTATTCTTGAATATGTAATTTCGCACATTCCTAGTCCTTCAAGTATACTAAAACCTTCAATATATCTTCTTTTAATTTTGATCGTTCGTCTGATAAAACTCAACCACCTAAACTAAATACAGCCTCCGATGCCACCGTAGACACCAGAGGTGCTATTAGATCAAATACAATTTTTGATATCATTAAATATTGCCTTTCGTTATACCTCCATCATGATAAAAGATTAAATTCCTATAATTCTTTTGGTTGTAACACACAACGAACATCTACGCACATATACATAACTAACTTAGAGGGAATTTCAAGATTTGTACCACGAATATCTATCGCTCTAGATATTGATGAACTAGAACTAAATGAGAGAATACTTGTATTCGTGTTCAAATAATTCCATAGATCATTTGAATTTGTTGAAATATTTCTTGAAAATGAACTTTGGGAAGTAGAATTGCCCTGACCTCCTTTTTAGCGTAATAGTTATACATTTCACATAATGTAGATTCTATGTGCACATATGATAATTTTAAATTCATGAAATTTGAAATCCACTTTATCATAGCTTTTGTGTCAGTTAAATTAAATTGATGGTTCATTACCAAAACTAAAAGAAAAAAAGAGGTCAATTCTTCCCAATATTTATGAAATTTTAACTCCATGAAGTAGACTACATCAATAACAAAAAAATCCTCTATTTATGAAATGTGGAAAAAAGTGTTGTAAAATAAGTGAAGATGTAGAGTAATAATATCGCTACATTCCTTTGTGGCATCGAAAAGAAGGTTTAAATTTTTATTCATACAAAATGTAATGGACTATTCCTAATCTTTTAAATTATGATTGGGTCCGTATGGAATGAGGACAATGCAAAATGAGGAAAAGGGACTAAAAGTGTGCAAAATTTGTGTGAAGTTGGGGACAAAGTGTACAAGTATAGAAGGTTTGAGGACTTTGGCCGCAATTTATGGAGGGCAACATTGCTATTAAAGTCAAAATATGAGGATGAAATTGTACAAAATCAAAGTTGAGGAACCTAATTTACAATTATCTTAGGGACTTAGTTGCAAATGTCACCACATCCCTTTTTGTTGGCTGTTGACCGAGCCTGGGCGCCTAGGCGCCACTGTAATGGTGTCTAGGCACCATCTTCAATTAAAGGTGGGGTTAAGGGACCGTTTGGCTAACTTTCGAAACTTGGGGGACTTGGATTTCATTTTCCTCCAGGTTTTTAATTTAAAAACTAGCAGCTGGAGTTCAATTTTTCGGCTGGCCTGCTTTTTTTTTCATTTTCTTTTCATTTTCTTTAATTTTTCTTGGTATTTTGGAGCAAATCAAGAACAAAACGAAGAAGAGTAAATCAAAGAAAATGTTGAGAAGAATTAGGGAACTCAAGATTCAAATCAAAAATCCAACAAAAAGGATTTTTATCTTTAATTTTGTATTTATTATTTTCTATCATTTGTGATGTATAAAATAAATATTTTCCTTTGTTGCCATATATTTATTATGAGCTAATTTCTTGTGTTGGGATTTATGGTTGAAATTTAACCTACCCTTAATTAATTTCAATATATGCCCTTTAATGTTAAAAATGTTTATTTTCATGTATTTTTACTATTGTTGTTATTGCATTTTCATTTATATGGCCAATGAATGATTATGTTTAATGATTTGTACATTGTTCAAGAGAAGATTGTGCATTTTAGACAAAACAATAGAAACCCCATGTTTGTGTAGGAAATAGAGATATACTCACAACCTTAGGTGGTCCAATGGACTATTTTTCTAAAGATTTAATACGGGTATTTGCTTTTATCGACATAGAGGTATAGTATGTTAAATCAATCAATTCGGGTTAATTTTGCTCGATAGAATAATTAGCTAAAATTGAAAAATCGAATCTAACATCGTAAATGGGTAATTGGTTAGTTGGCCTGTGGATAAATTAATTAGACGACTGTTAAGCGAAATCATGAATCACAATCATGTTTTCCTCTAAAATTTTTGAGATTTTTATATTTCCTTATTTTGTAAATTTTTAATTATTTTACAAAACCAAATATTTATTATGTGTTTGTTTTNCTCTGCTGCAGCCACGTATGCAACCATTCCTTCGCGAAATCTTTCCTATGAATATACAAAGGTGGAAAGAGTAGGACCAGAACCGTTAAACACTATTTTGGTTTGTTTTGGGTCGATACCGATTGATTTCGCTTTGCAACTCCTTAATACATGCCTATTCAAATGCATTATGCATGAATCGGGCTTCTAACTAAGTTTTTTGCCACAGTATTTGCAGCATACCTTCCAAATATGAACTCCGTTTTGAACATCAACTTTTTACGTATCATTGCTAATAATCAGATGAATCTTTTTTGAACTTTTTAGTTTCGAGTACTTTTTCCTCTTCGATATCCTCCAAATCAATTAGAACATTTTGAGATGCATCGTAGCGGGTTGGAATATTCGAGCTACCCCTAAAATGATTAACCTCATCACTAGTAAAATCCATTTATGGCTATTATAACAAAAGATACTGAATATTAGAGCAAAAAAATTGGAGATCGAAGATTGAAGTTGAAACTAAAATACTGTAAGTTCGAATCGAATGAAGTAAATTGATATAAAACTAAAAAATTTAACTCATATTTATAGAAAAAAAAATATAATCATTTCAACTAGGAGTGAACGAGGTTCAGTTTGACAGATTTGTACTATATTTTCAACTCTAACCATTTCGTGCGATTTTAAATTTTTCCAAATCAAACCTAACCATTTTATTTTTTGAACCAAACCATACCATAATTTACGATTTGTTTCAGTTTTAATCCGCGGTTTACCCGTCGAAATTGTAGTAATATATTTAAAACTAGTTTACATATAAGTTTAAATGAGAACTAATAATGTTAAATGTTAAATTACATTCATATTTATCATGAAACCCATGAATAAATTATTTTCAAAGCTGGTTGCTAAAAGATATTGAACAAATATATTTTTCTTCATTTTTATTACCTTTTCTTGTTTGACTTTCTTATTATCACATAGCGATTGATAAAGATAGAGTCACATTCTGCTATTATAGTTTAGTTAAAACCCATTTTATCTTGCTAGTGAAATGTTAAATAAGGATTGAACGTGATATGTTTAGATGTACAAAGATTGATAGAGTTTAGGCTTATTGGAAATTAACAGATTTTATTCTTTAACTACTTTATGAAAGTGGAAGGTAGTAGTATTAGTTAAAGAACTTTAACATTTTCACATAATCAATAAGCTCCGTTCTTCGTTCTTTCCAAATCATAAACAAATTCATTAATCATCTAGACATACAAACAATCGTTTTTCTATCCAAACCACAATTCATAAGTGTATAATAAATTCAAAAACAACAAATGAAAGAAAAAACAATAGAAAATAGTTTGAATGAGAATCTGAAACTTATCGAGAGAGAAGAGAGAGAAAAGCGATTCAGCTAGAAATTAGTAGTCTAACAAGCGAAAGGCGACTCGTTCAGCAGTGGCAACAAGAGTTAAATATTTGGGAAATGAGAGTTTATGTCAGGGATTCTGAAGTTTTGGACATGGTTTGCTGCCACAGTTTTGGTGAATTATGATTTGGATTGTCGAAAATATATGTTTTTTTATTTTATTTCATATGATTTGGGAATAATTTTAGTTTAGTTTAGAAATCGGGTGAAAACATGTGTTGTGAACTTGTTAACCGTAGGCCAATAATGATGAACTTAATTTAATTTCTATGATTATTTCAATGGGCTGGTTGTAATTTATATTACTAAATTGATATCTTCTGAAAAGTGAAAATTGTAACATTTATAAGTTAATAAAATTAATGTTGTAATTAAAAATTTTAAAAACAATTCGGTTCCATTTTGTACGATTTTTGAAAATCG